GCTGGGGAAGGTGGAAGTCCATCCTAGCTCCAGCACTGAGTTGTGTACAGGACCAGGGATTGTGTTGACCTGGATATAGGCAGCGGCTGCCTGACTTTGTCTGTTACCCACAGCTGCCCAGGAACTAGCCAAATGTGTGTTATTTCTGCCCCAGGGAAGGTAGTTACATATTTTGTAATTTCATTTTATATTGGATTGTTTATCTTTTTATTATTAAGTTGTAGGGGTTCATTATATATCCTGGATATCTGTCCTTTGTCAGAAATCTGGTCTGCGAATATTTTATCCCAGTCTATGGCTTGCCTTTCATTTTCTTAATAGTTTTTCCCCATGAACAGAAGTTTTTAACTTTGATGAAGTCTAATTTATCTTTGTTTCATTTATGGTTGTTACTTTCTGGGTGCTGCATATGAAAATGTTGCCTTCTCCTAATTCACAAAGATATTCTGCTATGTTTCTTCTAAAAGCTTTATAGTCTTAAGGTTAGGTCTGTGATTCAACTCAAAGTAATTTTTGTGAAACGTTTGAGGTGAGGGGTGAGGAGCATTTTGTTTTTGGTGGAATATCCAGTAGTTCCAGGATCACTGCTGGAATAAATTCTACTTGGTCCTTTTGAATTAATCTTTTATGTTGTTGGATTTTATTTGCTAGTTAGCAAATAATTCTATTTGTTAATCTTGCTAAGAATTTCTATGTCTATGTTAGGGTTTCTCATCCTCAGAACTGTTGGTATTTTGGGCCAGATAACCCTTTGTTGTGGGGGGTCTGTGCTGTATATTATGGGATGTGTAGCATCATCCCTGGTCTCTACCCACTGCATGCCAACAGCATTCCCTCCACAAACTGTGACGACCAAGAATGTCTCTAGACAATGCCAAATGCCCCCTGGTGGGAAAATCACCCCAGTTCAAAACTTTTGGTCTATGTTCCTTAGGGATATTTGTTCCTTTCTTTCTGTTTTTGGTTTTCGTTTTTTTGTAATGTCTTAGCAGGTTTTGCTGTTAGGACTGTGTTGGCCTTCTCTATTTTCTCATCTTTTTGTACTGTTGGCATCTTTCTTCCTTAAATGTCTGATAGAATTCACCTTTCCCACGTGTGCCTACAGCTGCCTGGGCTGAGATGGGTTTTCTTCCATCTCATTCCATCCCAGCCTTTCATTTTCCTTCTCTAGTGAAGCCATCTGGGACTGGAACATTTTTTATATATTTTCAGTATGGGGTCAGCTTTGTAAAATAGATTTAGGGCTCTCAAGACTTTCTGTTTCATCTTGCGTCATTTCAATAAGCTATATTTTTTTCAATCAATTTGTATATTTTTTCTAAGCTGTTGAACTTATTCACATAAAAGTTACTTATAATATTTTGTTATTATCTTTTACATGTCTATAGGCTCCTTTTATTCCTAACAATGGCAATTTATGTGTTTCTGATTTTTGTCTTGACCAATTCTTTTAATTTTTTTAGAGAACTAGCTTTTAAATTTGTTGATTTTTTCTATCTTTTTTATGTTCATTGACTTATTATTTTCTATTTCCACTCTTATTTTGGTTTGCTTTTTAATATCTATGTTAATATGCATTTATCTGTAGTTTATTCACTTTCACTGCTGGATAGTAGAATATCTAACTATTTATAAATTCTCTTAAAGAACATTTTGATTGTTTTCAGTTTTTTTAACACTAAAAACAATGATGCTATGAAGTCTCAGATATGCAAATGTGCAAGAGTTTTTTAATGCACATACTGTGTTTTATTTAGTTTAAGATGTATTTTTTTATATTTTAATATATCAGAAGTCAGAATATATATTAAAATTAACATCTTAGAGTGTAACTAACAGCTTTTTTTTGTGGTACGTTAAAAATGGCACAACTTATAAGCAATGAAGTATTTGATTTTTGATGAAATGCTGTAAATAAGAGCAGAATAAGAGCAGAAAATAATCAAAGTGTTATTTTCCACAGTGATCATATTAGTTCATGCTCAGTAGTCACACATGGGAATTCCTGTGGCCCGACATCCTCACCAATATTTAGTATTGTTGATTTTTTGCCAACCTTGTAGATGTAAAAAGGTCTCATTATAATTTTATTTTGCATTTCTGTATTTACTAATGAGTTTGAATGTCTTTTCAGTTGCTTAGTGACTATTCCTCTTGAGAAATGCCTGTTTCATCTTTGCCTATTTTTTCATTGGGTTGCTGGTCTTTCTCAAATTAATTTACAGGGGTTTTAAAAATTAGTTTTGATACCAACCTTTTGTCTGTTACATGGGTTACAAATACCTTTTTCTAATTTTCAGCTTGCCTCCTCTCTTTAGGGAATCTATTGATAATCAGAAATTATTAAATTAAAAATGGTTTAATTTATCAAACTTTAATAGTATTTGGGAAACATTATAAAGATATCAGTTCCTATACAGGATCATGAAAATAATAACTATTTTCTCTTTAAAAAGAGCTTTTCCTTTCACATTTAAGTTTTTGGATTATCTGCAGTTGATTGGTAGATAATGATAAGAAGAAAGTTTTTTTCCAATTTTGGTTTTTAAAATAATGATAACTGATCATCCCAGCATCGCTTATTATATTTTGATTTTTCATTTTGTGTTTATTGCATATATCTACTGCTATATAGTACCACCTCATTATTTTTCACATTTCCATATATGCAAGAATGTCTTTTTGGGGTTCTTAATTCTTTTCCAGTAGTCTGTTTTTGTTCATTTCTATAGTAATAAATTACCTTTTCCCCTCACTTTTATAATACATTTTGATAATTGATAGGGCAGGCCCTGGCTGTTTGTACATCTGTCTTTCTCCAAACGGCTGCCTCGTTGATATTACCGTCCGATAGGTTTGGCATGTCCCCGCACACTCGGCCACTCACGGAGGCTGCTGTCATCGGGCACACAGAGAACCCCCAGGAAGCTGGGAATCGACATCAGAGGCTGCAGGAATGATCTTTAAGGAGGACTTGAGAGTCTAACTTACTCAATGCAGTCAGAAAGGCTCGGCCCATTCTGCGGGGGAGAAACCAAAAGAAAGCAGGGGACTCATCCCGTGCTCGCAGCTGGTCCATGCTGGAGCTGTCCTGCAGCACGGTCGGCTTAGACTGAGTGGGTTCCACTGCGGAATTGCTGACCTCAAGACGGAGCCGTGTTTCTTGGGATCCCAGGACCTCATTTGCTCCGATGGGTTTTGCTCCATGCCTCCAAAGCGTCCTCTGGGTGAGCTTCTCACTCTTGGTCAGTTCCCTGTACAGCCCCACCCGGCCCCGCTGGACCTGCTTTGCAAGCGGCAAGACCTTTGTCCCTTGCTCTTTCCTCACCAGCACGCTTCTCAGTTATTTCTTTATCCTTTTACAGAAATTATATCTTTTTATGCTTCTAAAACTCCTCCAGCCTAGTAACCGGGTATGATCTTTCTCTCTGTCTAGGTATCTGGAAGTGCCAATCTTGGTGTTTGCTCCTTTTCTTCACGTCCCTGAGACCTGATGGGCCCATGTGCCAGTGGCTGCTCAGGCACCTCCCCTCTCCTGTGTCTTTCAAGTAGAGAGGGAGGAAAGGCCACGCCAGGGAGCTGGCAGGAGAGCTGTAATTACCCGAGCTAATGCTTCGTCTCTCTCTAAAGTTCAACTTCATTAGTGAAACTTCCTTTATCTTGTCATTCTAGTTTCTGGTTTCTGATGAGCTGGTACTTATTTTGCAATCAAGAGTAAAAATGTTGAACTAAAATAATAACTAACATCATTAACTTTTTAAGGAATGTTAACTGCATATAAGCTCCACGAGGACAGACATTTTTCTGTCTGTTTTGCTTCTTGCTGTGACCCTGGCACCTAGAATCAATGTCTGGCCCATGGTTGATGCTTTATTAGTATTGGCTGGATAAATAAAGAATGAATTTTACTGAGTGCTTCCTATATGTCAGTGGTATGCTAAAGGCTTTCCATGTGCTGCTTTCTTAGTTCTGATAACAATCCAATGAAATCGATATCATGATCCCTGTTTTGCACTTGGGGAAACTGAGGCATAGAGAAGTTAGCTGACTTGTCTAAGTCACAGACTGTATAAGTGGTCAAGACAGATTCAAACATGTATCTGTGGGATGCCAAAGAACATGCTCTCAGCCTCCATGTGGCAAATGCCTCTATCACTGATGTTATGCAGATATGAGACGCCACCTTACCGGAGTCTGAGAATCCCCACTGCTTCTTTCGTTCAGTGGTGGGGGAAGGGAGGCATCACTGAGCATCTTTTTCCTAGAACCCCTACAAAAATACAAATATCTCAATTTAAAAATGAGGAAAGGATCTAGACAGACATTTTTCCAAAGAAGAAATACAAGTGGCCAATAAGTACATGAAAAGATGCTCCACATCATTGGTCACTAGGGAAATGCAAATCAAACCACAATGAGATACCAGTTCACACTCACTACAATGGCTAAAATCAAAAGATGGACAAGAACAAGTATTGAGAAGGATGGGGGAAAACCAAACCCTCACGCTTTGCTAATGGCAATGTAGAATGGTGCGGTCACTTTCCTGTTGTTTTTATTTTAATGGATTTTAGGAGCACAAGCTGAGTTCTGTTACCTGTATATATTATATAGTGGTGAAGTCTGGAGATGCAGTCACTTCAGAAAAGAGTCTGGCAACTCCTCAAAAAGTTAAACATGGGGTTACCATATGACCAGCAGTTACACTTCTAGGTATATACCCATGAGGATGGAAAACATATGTCCACGCAAAAACTTGGACATGAATGCTAACAGTAGCATTATTCATTGTAACTACAAAGTGGAACCAACCCAAATGCCCATCAGCTGTTGAACAGATACATCACACACGGTATATTCGTGCAATGGAATGTTATTCATCCGTGAAAGGAAGGATGTCCTAATAAATGCCACAGCATGGATGACCCTTGAGCATATGTTAAGTGAAAGAAGCCAGACACTAAAGGCCACATGTTGTATGACCCCATTTAAATGAAATGTCCAGAACAGGCAAATCCAGACAGAGAAAGTAGATCAGTGGTTGCCAGGGGCTGGGGCAAAGCAGTTATGGGAGGAACTTCTAACAGGTAGGGGGCTTCTACTGAGGATGATGAAAATGACCTGGAATTAGTGGTGATGGTTGCACAACCTGGTGAATATATAAAACCCACTGAATTGCAAACATAAAGGGGTATGCTTTATGGTATATGAATTATATCTCAATAAAGCTATTAAATTAAGAAAAAATCAATTGCAGAGAGAGAGAGAGAGAAAGTGCGAGTGAGCTTGGCCCAGCAGGAGGAAGGGCTGTGGTCAGAAGAGAGCTAGAGTAAGAGGCAGAGCTCTGGAGCCTTTATTAGACCTGAGTGAGCTGCCTGTGCCACTCTCCAGCTGGGGCCTCTGGGAAGCCCCGCCCCTCTCCGAGCCTCTGTGTCCTTTGTTTTGCATTGTGGTAGGTGTGGACAAGCTGACATTTAAGGCTGGTTTGGATTCTTATGTGCCTACTCATCTAAGGGGACAGTTTCCCTGGTTCTTGCCTAAATTTCAGGTCTACTCTCCAGCAGGCGGGGATAATAGGGGACAGGGAGTACCGAGATCCTCGTCCCAATAAATGACAATAATAGCAGAAACAAAAGATGAAAGAACTCAGAAAGCACACCGGGGAGAATAGCAACCTTGTTCTTACCGTCTCGCATAGCTGACAAGCTGTTGGAAAGTTTTGCAGAGGGGCGGCTTCGGTTTGCTAAGGAGGCTTGCAGGGTAATGGCCGTGGTGTGAGTGTCTCCGAGCCTGGGAGTTTCCTTTAATGCTGGGCTCTCAGGTCTGGTCCAGTGACAGCGGATCTCTCCCCAGCCCCCCAAAGTGCAGCGCACGGCTAATGGCTCTTATAATGAGAGATTTACGACTCGGGGCGTTCAGACGCTGCACCAACCTCATTTGTCCGGCTCGTGGCAGATCCTGTAATCATCTCTGCAGGCCCCAGCTCCGGGCTCCGCACATGCTGCTCTGGCCAATTCCGCCGAGCAGATGAGAAGCAAGGAGCCCCACAGCCCCACAAACAAAAGTCGCGTTGCTCCTCCAGAAGGAGAGGAAGTCCATCCTGACATCTTAGGAAAATATTTTTGTGTCTTGGTTATGCAATGAATCCTGAGTTGACAGGAGCTTTTGGTCTCATCAAAGTGTGTGGCTTCACAGCAGACGTGGCTCCAGGTGCTCTTGTGCACAGGTTTCAAAGACGTCCCATTTTTCTTCCTGGCGGGTTGGTGCTTCTTCAGCCCCGAACTAAAAGCAAATAACCCATTAATATTCTTGCTCATCCTACAGAAAGTTGCCTGGCTAATGAGTCTGGTAATTGGGATCCTCTTGCAGCTTGGATCTCCCTTAGGATAAAGCTGGGGTTGCAGGCACCTCTTTCTGGCCACCGTTGTCTGCAGTGGGGTCCCAATTTTCGGCCACCCACCTGCAAGGGCAGAAATAGTCACCTCTGAAATCAAACCACTCTATGATTTTCAGTGCTGTGTAATACTGATTCTTGTTTAGGGGGCTTTACAATGAAACGAGTGCATAATGATGCAAGAGATACTGATTTCTACTCAATGAAAGAAGCAAGTTAAAGGGAGACTGCCGCCCTTTCTCACACACTCTCCCTCAGGTGTCCCCAACACCTCTTGGGCTGACTGGGGTAGGACAGGACCCCACAGCAAAGCTAGATGACCTTCTGGAGGCCACAAGGTCCTGTGCACACCCTGCACATTGCAGATGGGGAACCTGAGCCCTGCAGAGGGCTGACCTACTCAAGGGCACAGCTGAGTGGCCAGGTAGAATCCAGTGTCCTTGCTACCTGTCTGGACTCTTCCCAGAATATCTTACTGTGTCCATTAAGGCCAAAAGAAGGAAGCAAAATCCTCATCTTTCAACTTCTCCTACCACTGCTGCTTGCTGCCCAAGATCCGGCCATCTGCTTAGGTGAGGCTACATATTCCCGGGGCATCTCAGCAGATATCCTGTCCCCCCTCCCCAGGCCTCAGTTTTCTCTGACCTGGGCTGCCTCCCAGCTCTGTGGAATCTCTCTTGAGAGGGGAGTGCATTCTTTCACATTGAAGGTGTCTGTGTTACATAACAGAGACCACCTATGTTTGCTTACATGGGTCCAGGTCTTAAAACAAGCAAGAAAATATATAATAAGACCAAGATGGAACCACAGAACCAAAGGCAACAGGCGATTCATTAAAAAGGATGGAAAGCAGGTACTTGAATCCATGTTCATTGCAGCATTATTTGCAGTAGCCAAAAGGTGGAAGCAACCCAAGAACCCATTGATGGATGAACGGATAGGATAAGCAAATGGTAGTCAATACATCCAATGGAGTATCGAGTATCGTCCATCCTTAAAAAGGAAGGGCGTTCTGATACATGCTAGACTTGGATGAGCCTTGAAGACAAGGTTCATCTAAGTGAAGTAAGCCAGTCACGAAAGGACACATACTGTATAATTCCACTCGTAGACGGTGCCGAGGGGAGTCCAATCCATAGAGCCAGAAAATAGAATGGTGGTCGCCAGGGGCTGGGGGAGGAAAGGGGGGTTGGTGTCTAGTGGAGACAGAGTTTCGGGTGTGCAAGGTGAAAAGTGCAGGGCTGGAGATGGGCAGTGGCGATGGTTGCACAACATTGTGAGCTTGTTTAACACCACTGAACTGTACGCTTAAAAATGGCTAAGACGGTAAATTTTGTTATATGTATCTTACCACAATTTTAATGAGATAAGCCGTAAGACAAAATGGTCAAATGCACATTGCATGGAAAAATCTGTGTCTCATTCCCCTGTTAGAATATGAGCTCGTCCAAAGCAGGGATCCTGGGCTCCCCTCATCTTGGATACCCCAGCCCCTAACCTGGAACCTCAGCCCCGCTACGTTCTCAGCGAGTGAGTGCTGCGCTGAGACAGTGTCGCGATCGCCTGGATGCCCCAAAGCACCCAGGACACCCACGCATGGCGACGCCGTTTGCAGAGTGCTTTCGTGTGCATTATCGTATTTGGTTGTCCTCACCGTCCTTGAGGCCGGTGGCCCTAGCCTGTCCTCCAGGAGAGCCCCACACTGCACCCCCATGGAGAGCAGAGCCGGGACCCCCCCCAGCCCCCCGGATGCCCAGGGCCGAGGGTCTGTGCTTCCCATTCCGGGGGTTCAGATTCAGCTAGAGCCCAAGCGACTACAAAATGCAGTAGACAGGCTTTTGAAACATCTTTATTATACGCCGTGATTTTCTGAAAGAGATGAAAATTCTGTGTAAAACCATGAATAATAACACAGCACTTTCTCCGAGGGCCTGTTATGTGACAGCGCCGTGCTGAGCCCACGAGAACTTTTATTTACTTCGTTCACTCATCCCCAGCCGGGCAGCGCACACGCCAGTCTTGTCTTCCTCTGACAGAGGAGCAGCAGAGGCCTGAGGTCATGGGCCCGTGCCAGGGTAGAGCCTGAGAATGTGGTGGTGCCAGGCGTCACCCCCGGGGCCAGACGCCAGAACCAGGCTGCTCCATTTCCACGGTCCCCGCGCACAGGGATTGTTACTATTGCAATCCCCCAGCTGCAGGCTTATGGGAAGGGTGACCCTTGGCAAGCCGCGTACGTGAAGCTCAGCTTCCCCATCTGTACGACGGGGTGATACCAGTGCCCTCCCCAGGAGGCCATTTTTCATGTTGAAAGAGATGATGCTTGCACAGCGCTCAGCCCACGTGTGTCTTGCAGTGAGCGTGCGGCAAGCTCCAGCCGTCACGACACGACAGAGACGTCACTGCGCTCCGAGCGCCCTGGGAATGCCCAGTGAGGGTGCGCTGGCCTCTGTTTGGGAAGCTGCCCACAAAGGCACCGTCCACTGACATAATGACCCATGCTGCCAATGCCTCATCCAGGTGCTCTCACTATAATATGGCGCATTCCACCTGACAGGCAACCAATTACGCGATTTCTCACGTCTCCCCTTTGGCCTGGGCTGTTAACTTACCCTGAAGCTGTGATTCATTGTGCCTCCTTGAGCCCACTCTGCTCAATGATTTCTCCAGCTCAGTATTTGCTTTCTAAAAAAATCAGTTTAACTGGTTTTTAACTGTGTTGTTACCTGTAAGCTACCTAAAATTTGGCTGGGTATAAATTATATAACAACGTTCACTCTAACTTAGTGTCAAAGATGTTTTACTAAACTCCATGGAAACCAGTTGTTCTTGTAATAGCTTGCGTGGCAAACAGACTTGTATTGCCCAGTTTGTAAAAATTGGTAACAAGTAGATAAAACAAATTAACATTGCGGCATTATTATCTGGATTTCTTTCAATACTAAGAAAACTTTTAAACACAGCAAAATGCTGTCTAGCAAGGGAATCAGCATCATCAGAGTCAGTGAAAAATAAAAAAAAAAAATGCCGAGAAGTTGGGGAGAAAGAAGAGAAATTGCATCTGACTGTAGGCAGTGGACGAAATAGCTCTTTGTCTCATTTCTAGCGGTGTTCTGCAGAAAACTTTCACATAATGCTCACACAAACTTGTTGTACTGGTCAAAGAGGCCTCGGACGTCATCCTCAGAGTGGTGACCAGTGCTCCTGCTAACGAGAAATGGCTCGAGGTGGACTTGTCCCCCCCAACCCCCACCCCGGTTGCTCTGTAAACATTCCGACGACTTCCTCAGAGCTTTGAGGTCCTGTGGCTGGAAGGTGGGAGCCTGACTCATTCCGAGGGTGGTTACAGAGGAAAACTGTGGCCGCTTTATCTTTCGTTTAGCCAAGCACATCCTTGTCATTGAAAGACCTTGGAAACCGAGTAAAATGGCTTTGAGACGTCAGTGGAGTATGAGCAGAGGGTCTGGGGAAGGTACGTTCTGATTTTTTTCCTGCAGATAGAACCTTATCAAAATATAAAATGATATACTCATTTAGGCTGTTCTCAGCTAGCACCGTGCTGGGCCCTGGGAGAAGGAACGAGTCAGATGTCCTATAAAGACTTGGGTCCACTCGGGGAGATGAGCCGTGAGCAGATTGTCACAGAGCAGTGTGACAAGGACGCACTGTAGTGCCTGTCGGGGGCACTGGTGTGGGCTGAGACGTGTCCCTGAAAAGAGACGCTCGAGGTTTGAACATAACCCCTGATGCCTGTGAACGTGACCTTATGTGGAAATAGCGTCTTTGCGGGCGTAATCAAGTTCAGATGAGGTCACACCGGGTTAGGGGGGGCCTTAAATTCAATGCCTAGTGTCTTTATAAGGAGAGAGAGATTTGGAAGTGCACAGGGGAGACGCCACGTGAAGGTGCAGGCAGAGATCGGGGCGGGGCTGCCACAGCCGAGGGACACAGAGAATTGCCGGCAACCACGAGGGGCTGGGAGAGGCAGGAAGGACCCTCCCCTCGACCCTGCAGAGGGAGCATGGCCCTGCCGACACCTTGATTTCAAACTTCTGACTTCCAGAGCTGTGGGGGGATAAATTCCTGTTGTTTCAAGCCAGCCAGGCTGTGGAGTTTGTGGAGGTAGCGCTAGGAAACCAACGCGGGCACCATTCATCTTGGGGGGACGTGTGACATGGGGAGAGGTCAGGAAGTGCTTCTAAGAGGGGGTGATCTTGGGCTGCAGCAAGGGTGAGGAGTGAGGGGTTAGCCCAGTGGACGGTGGCACCCATGACCAAAGCTGCAGACATTCAAGCTGGCCGCGTGTGGGCCTGGAAGTGGCCTTGCTGCTGTAAGGGTTCCTGGCCTGGGCTCCTTGGACTCCCAGGAGCCCCTGTGTGTGTGCTCAGGTTTCACACGTTCTCCCAGGCCCTGTTCAGGCAGAGAAATGTGTCCTGTGCATTCAAGTTTTTGAAAGAGCACCCCCACACACACACAAAGTCACAAGCTAGAGATGTCAGGGGGACTCGGCATGACCCTGTCAGGGGACGGGGTTGCTGGGGTCACCAGCTTGATTGTGACCTTGCTGAGATCAGACCGGGCAGTGCAGGGAGGTTGAAGTGATGTAAGGGAGCAGAACTTCTGTCTCGGGGTCAAACCAGCCTTGGCTGTCTTGGGGACGTTGAGGAGAGGGGATGGGAGGGGTGCGGAGGGGGTGCCTCCATTTCTAGTGGCGGGGGTACCAGCCAGGTGAAGACACGGGAGGAGGAAGAGGCAGGCATGAGGGGAATTGGGTGGTTCCCTTTTGAAAAAGCCATTTGAGGGGACCCGAGGGCAGCTGGTTCTAAGGCTGGTGCTGGCATGGGGGACCTGGGCCCTTCCTTGGCCAGATCAGTCCATATGTGTTTGGGGACAGGATGCAGAGGGAGAACCCAGAAAGGGGGTCAAGGAGAGAACCCCCAAAGGAAAGATATAGTAGCTCTTATGGGAGGCAGGCAGTGAGAAGACCATAGTCAAGAGCAGATGTCCTCAAATTACGGCCCGTGGGCCACATCCTGCCTGTCCAGGACATTTATCTGGCCCATAGGGGTGTTTTTGCCGCCGCTGCCTATCCTACTTAGCAGCTGACTCATCCAGGGCCCACAGTGTGCACTCTCCAACGGTCTGAGAGACAGTGAACTGGCCCCCTGTTTAAAAAGTTTGAGGACCCCCCTGGTCAAGATGATGACATCACACAGTTGCAATTAATTGAATTTAAATTTGAAAAGTGATTCTCTTGGAGGAACTTCCATTTTAAAATATTAAAAAGAGGTATTTTTAAAGGTTTGGTGAAAATTCAGAGCAAAACTTGACTAACCTAAGACTAGAAATGAGGAAACGCATTTAAAATCCAAGAAGTGGAAACTTGAGCATGCCTTCCCTGCCTCTGTGAGTGTGGAGGAGATATGAGAATAAGCAGAATTACCAGACAAACCGGAAGCCCTAGTGGGCATCGCTGGGATATTATTTTGATCGAGTGATTCGCTCGGGGACTGTGCTTGTAGGGACAGCTCTGGCAGCACTGGCTACCAGTAGGAATTGCTTGGTATCAGCCCCACCCTACGTTTCTTTCAGTGTCCGAAGATGCTGGGTTTCCCTGCTTTTGTGTTTTCCCTTAAGCCCGTTCGGCCTTTCCCTTTGACCTCATCTTGGGCCGCACCACCTCCTCCCCCCCATCTTCCCTAAATCCTCCCCATCCCCAAAGGCCATTCCCAGGATCCTCCTCCCCCGCCCCAGACTTTTCCCGGCTCCCTTGCTGGAAGGGCTCTCGGTGTGGCTCATTGAGGCTGGGCTGGCAGATCCATGACTTCCTCATAGAGCACGTGGGAGGAGAGGGCATCGCCCCACCCTGTCTCGCAGCCCAGGGCCCTGCACACCCTGGGCGCTGCATAGACTGCACCCACATGGCTGCCATTGCAGAAGCGCGCCCCTTCCTCCGGGGAGGAGACCTGGATTCCAGAAGCACTTGGCTCACGGCCTCATGGTGTGCTTGCTCATGGCGGCCGTGGTCTAGAAAGGAGCTCAAAGGGAGGAACGGATTGGGACATGCCGCTCGGGCTGATTGAGACAGACACGACTATAGTCTGGCCAACCATCTTAGGAGAGAAAAGCTCTTGGCACAGGCTAGTGAGCTCACATGCTCCCCGGGGACGCGGAGGACCAGAGTGCCGGGCACCAAAGAGAACCAGCTTATAAACCAGCAATGACAACGGTGGGTGGCTAATTGGGCTGGTTTTTAATCACCTTCAAAATAAAAGTCCGCATGCTGGCTTCCATGGTGGTTTTATTCTAATTGAAGCTATCGGTGAAAAGCCTCATTTAGATCCTATGCCCACAGACATAGGTTTCCTAAAACCCGCAAGGGGGTTTCTGAATCAAAGCATTACGGTTCTCTCCTTGGGGGCCTCAGACTCACCAGCCGTAAAGGAGCTGGTTGGGCTAAGACTAACAGGTGTCCATGGACTGAGGTGCATGGAATGCCCTGGAAGCCTTGCTAAAGCATGACGCTGAGCCCCACCCTGGAGTTCCCACTCATAGACCTGAAGGTCAGTGGGCGGGTAGGGGACCCAAAACATGCATTTTTAACAAGTTCCTCCAGTGACGCTGATGCAGCTGCTCTGGGGGCCACGCTTTGACAGCCCCCGCTGTTAAACAGCAATGTGAGGCAGGACCCTGGCTCAAGGTCGGTTTCCAAGAAGCGCAGCCTGAGGCAGGGATTGAGGGCATGGGGGCGTGGGGCGCTCTTGTGGCAAGTGCCCACGAGACAGTAGGAAACCTGCTGGGGAGAGCCGGGCAAGGACGTTGGCCCAGGCACTGGCCTTTGGTTTATGCTCTGGAGCATGAACAACAGGGTTGTCCTAACCTTTGCATTCCGAAGAGTCACCATGGGCTGTGCTCCCAATGTCAAGGACCATCCTCAGAGTGAAGCTGTGCACCGTTGCCAGCGACCCTCCCAACAGCCGGGCAGGGCGCGGACAGCACCAGCTCCACGTTCCAATTTCATAGATGGGGAAACTGCCGTCACTGATTTTAAGTAATCAATTACGCAAAGCCACACAACTGGAATTTGACCCTGAGCTGCTGACCCCACATTGCATCTAATACATCGACCTCAGTCTCCTCGACCAGTCTGCGGTGGGAGGAATAACGGTCCCACCAAAGATGTCCCTGTCCGGATGCCTAGAACCTGCAAATATGCCACCTTACTTGGCAAAAGGGACTTTGTGGATGTGATTAAGTTAATAGCCCTGAGACAGAGGGATTAGCCTGGGTTATCCAGGGGGCTCAGTCTAATCCAAGGGTCCTTCTTAGAGGAAGGCTGGGGGTCAGAGTCACAGAAGGAGCCGTGACGATGGAAGCAGAGTTTGGAGCGAGGTGGGTCTGTGAGCCAAACAGCGCAGGCAGCCTCCAGAAGCTTGGAAAGGCAAGGGAGGGGGTTCTCCTTAGAGCTTTCGGAAAGGGACACAGCCCCGCTGACACCTGATTTTGGTCCAGCGAGACCTTTCTTGGACTTCTGACCTCCCGAACTGTAAGGTAGTACGTCTGTGTTGTAGAAGCCCTCGGCCTGTGATTCTTTGTCACAGCAGCCAAGGGAAACTCGTACACCACCCTCGCTTTTATCTGATCGTGGCGGTTGTCCCTCCTCCTGGCTAGAGCACCTCACCAGAGCTAGTTTTATTGCAGATTGTTATGTTATGGGCACTGCACTAAGGGCTAGTTAGTTACGTAATTTAATCTTTTTCAGTGACACTATGGGCAATGCCGTTATATTCATCTCACAGTGAGGAACTGAGGGTGCCGAGTAACTTGCCCAAAGCCACATGTGTAGCCAGAGCTGGGATTCAGGCCCTGGGGCTCTGTGGTCTGATTCCAGTGGCTTCCTGACCACTGTTGCAGTAGTGAGAGTGACCACCTGTGCCTCGGGGAGGGCTGCCTTGATCCTGCTCATTAACAGTCACAGCTGGTGTCAGTTACCAAACCCTAACCCACACCTCTTCCCTGTGCTCTACGTACCGTGTGCTCGGTGCACTGGTGGCCGGCCTGCATTTTTGCAGGAGGGTTTGCATTGCCTGCGTCATGTGCATGAAGAAACCCAGAGAGGTTCTATGGCCCGTCGGTGGCGGGTGAGCCCGGGGCCGGGCTGGATGCAGACCCAGACCCGTCCATCCCAAAGCCTGTGCTGACTCCAAAGTTCTTAACCGCACAAGACGCCACAGGACCAGAGCCAGGTGATTTCCATCTTCATCAGCTTCATTGCCAGCTCATCCTGATGCACCAGCTCTGCACAGGAATCCAGGCGGCCTTTCAGGTCTTACATTTGTGCTTCATGATAAGTAATCTGTGCACATCATCTTGAATCACTGTCTCTGTCACTCAGTCGCAGTCACACATGCAGGCACAGCCACAT